AGAGAGAGAGAGAGAGAGAGAGAGAGAGAGAGAGAGAGAGAGAGAGAGAGAGAGAGAGAGAGAGAGAGGAGGAGGCACAAAATAACCTTCGGTTACAACTGCCCCACATAGAGCAAGCACGTGTGAATCTCTGATGTGTCGGCTAAAAAGCAACAAGTTATAACAACAATCCTCTGCTGTTCACAGAACAGACAAGAACTGACACACAGTTCATGCTGGACAGTGCTTTTTGCATCCATTGTTGAAGAAGTTAGAAAAAAGAAATCCAAAGACAAGAACTGACCCAGCATTCTGTTGTAGAAAAAAGGAACAGCAGGAAAGTCAATCGCACAGAGCAAACCTAAATAGTAAATACCCATGTGGCATGTTCGATCTCACAGCGGAAAATTAATTTCCATGGGCCCGACTGACCGTTCCCCATGACCAGAGCACAAAAATCCTGCATCCTTTTAAAAAACAAAGAGCTATTATACGATCTCAAGCACCGGAAAGGATCATCTCGCGGACAAATATCCATCTTCCGATAAGCGCGAATGTACAACTAACTGAGGTAAGAAGTCACAAATTACACGACAGCTCGAACGAACTTGAAGGCGTGGAATCGACGACGATTCAGAAAAAGGAATCGAAGGATACGAAGGAATACGTGGTGGGCACCCCGACGAGCAAGGCAGCGTCGGTTTATGTGTTTGCTGGCAAGCAGGAGAACATGGCAACACAACCAGACTCGAGTACAATCTGCGAAATCAGGTCAATCTAGCAGGCATGGAAAGAACGAAACCGTGACCGTTGGATCTTCATTCCATTGGACCACCAACTGGAAAAGGTGTCCGCCTGCTCGCGACCATGGCGAGTGGCGGTTTGTACGAAACACGATGTCACCTTTGCGTGAATGTGTATGCATCGCCACACTTGTGCTCCTGGTTATGATATTTGCAGTGGGGGGTGCGGGGGGTTTGCCGGGGGCACGTTGGGCTGTACGCAAAACCACCAACAAGTTGCTCGCACAATCCAATTAGCCAAGGGCATTGTGCAGGACAAGACATCCACAATATTAACCACGTCGCAAGCAGCACAGTGGTGACAAGACATCCACAATACTCACGACATCGCAAGCACTACATCGGTGAGCGCACTGCCGGTTGATCTCGTGCTCGGGTCGTCGCAGGTTAATGACCATTGCTTCGTTCACTTTGCCACAGAGTCCCACGACTGTGGTCCCGGATCACACCACGCAGTCCCACAAGGGTTCCAGGTATCTCCATTGCACAGAGGACCACGGCCTGAACCGTGTGAAATGTACTTGATTCTGTGCAAATGCTCCGTATATATATATATATATCGTCACAAACAGAACTGCCCGGTAAACCGTAGGCAGAGAGAATATATATATATATTGTGAAACAGAGCTGCCTGGTAAACCGTAGGCAGAGAGGGAGAAAAGGACAACAAACGAGGGGGGGCTGTGACAAACTGTTTCGTCGGAGTTTCACCGACTCATCAGGAGCGTGAACCCTATACATAAGTTTTATAAACTAATTGCCATACACAGCACCACCGCGACATTCTTCTTAAATCTCAAAAAAAAAAAAAAAAAATGGTGTTGTAGATCTTTTCGAGATCTAAA